TTTTTTTGACGAAATTTTCAATTGATTTTTTCCTTGATATCCAGTAGTTTACATAAAGGTATTCCCAAATTCCTACTCCGCGTGGTTTCTACAAATTTTAATTAAATTTTTTTCTTTTTTTTTTTTTGTAATTGTTATTGTTCTTTTATATCCAGGCTTTAACTTTATCTCTCTACGTATGTACGTATATATCATCAGAATTGTTTTTTTTTTTTTCTCAAATGCACTTTTCGGGGAGCTTATCGATGCAGTTTTCGCATCTTCTGGGAATGTTAAAAATTTGGTAATTAATTCATAAATTATTAATATTATTATTATTATTTTTTTTTATTTTTTTTATGGACGATGTAGGTTTTTTTTTTTTTCCCCAAGCGCCCGGGGGGGTGTGCTGTGTATCAATTTCCTAAGCTTGGGCAGCTAGAAAAAAACGACGAGGCCGCGTGGCCAGCATGTGGCCTGATACTGAGGACCGGTGTGATTTGGGCACGGGACAGTAGTTTTCCTCTTGTTGCTATCGTGAATCTGTGCACAAAGAGTACAATGAGGGAAGCAGTAAAAAAAGGCGTATAGAATAAATGAGCTTTTAGCGTATTACCTTCTTTTGGTTTTTGTTTGCTAAAGCAATGAATGATTTCCAATCTCCTGTGATGGCAGACTCAGTTGGAAACTTTGAGTGTCTCAAAAAATCTCACGCTTTTAATAAATGAGCGCTAACATGCCCAATGAATTACGATGCAATTTTAACACAAAAAAAAAAGGAAAACTTACTAATCTATCGAATTGATAGCAGGAAAAATTTAAGTAAACTACTTACAGTTATGTTGCAAGATTTTAATGGTGGATTTTAGACACCCTCGAAGTGATCCTACTTGGTCTGCAGTTGAAATGGAAAGGAAGTAACTACTTTCCGTAAAGCAGTCTTGAACTCTCGGCTTCGGCAAATATACAGTAAAAATGTCATGGTTGGTACTACTGTTTTGACCGAAAAAGTACTTTTTCTACCCATTGTAGAATGGATATATACAAATATCGCATGCGAGAAATTTTTACATGTAGGGTTGCTTCGAGAACAGGAAATTGTATTTGATTTGTTCGAATGAAATAATGATAGTATATTTTGACAGACATTTGTTTGGAAAATGTAAAGAATAAAACTTTGGATTTCTTAATTCGAAGCTAGTTGTAGTGGTGGACATTACA